CACTTGAACTCCTTCAAAGTTTAAGCTTCAGAATTTCTTGCCAGTTACACTGCTCAGTGCTTTCCAGACTTTCTAGTAGTAGGTACTAAACCAAACTCACCTCCTTACCTTGTTTTCCCCTAAAGGCTTGAAAAGAGTCCTCCCTTCCTTTGCTTTTGTTTTGTAACCTCACTTCAGAGGCAGCCAGTGAACCCTGGGAAGGCAAAACCGTTTTCTCACTCCTGGAAAGCAGCCCCCACCCCAGTGCTGGACTAGCCCCAGTCACACCCACTCTACCCAGCTGCAAACACTCTCAACCAGCCCAAGCCAACAGAGAGCAGGTGAACACATTACTAAATAGCTGTAGTATTGTGTCGAAACCAGAGTAGTTTCAGCTGGATGCTTTCCTCTGCAACACTGACTGTCATTTTCACCTATAAACTGAAATGCCTATAAACTGTGCCCTTGACTGATTCTGTCTCATAGGTGTGCCAATTTATCTTTAAAAAAGTGGAAATGACAGAACCTGTTTTTTGCATTCCTACCAGTTAATTGAATTTAACTGGGTGGGGAGGAAGGGAAATCTCTCTCCACTGGTTTGGTTACTTTCTGTGTAATGCTGTAATTCAGCTTTTCCCTGACACTACAGAACCCAGCCATCTCTTGCTTAACAGCAAACTCCCATTCGGGGAGTCCAGACGGTTTCTGTGGCTCCACAGCAGTCTGTCTGAGACTGCTGTCTGGGGCACAGAAGCATAATTATAATAATTATGAAAGAAAAAAGATAATAGATACAGAAGTTCTTTTCCCTAATCAGCTCTAGGTCAAAGCTTTACCTACAGCTAACAACGAAATAATCTATTAATGAGCCCACATCAGGAACCAGCATAGTCACAGCAGTGCAAACAAAGAAAGTCATAATTTGCAACAAATGGGTTAGAGCTACATTTAAATGGCAGTCTTAGGTTTATTTAACTAAAGACATTATTATCTTTAAACTATAACTGCCTCAGTGCTTGGTCTTAGCTTAGAAAGAAAGAAGGCATCCATCCAAAGCAAGGAATGCAACACACTGAAATTTCAGAGTTAAGGCTACCAGAGTAAATGCTGAAAGTCCAGATCCACCTTTGAAAACGCCAGTGCATTATACAAGGCATTTGGAAAGGTACTTTTTTCTTATTTCTACTGCTACGCAACGCTGCTTATTCAAGAGAAAGATACCATCCATTCCTGAATGATGCTAATGCATAGATCACCAGGACTCAGGGTGTTAGACCATCCCAGAGAGCTTTGAGCTTTCTAGAGAAACTGGACCTTTTTTTTTCTTGTACAACTATTTTATTATGTACTTTATACACAAATGGAAGACTAAGAAATTGATTGTTAGATCCACACAAATACCAGTGCACGCTTTGCTTATGCTACAGTTGGATTTTTTTAGTAACAGCTGGTAGACATCCCACCAGCAGCAGAAGTGCAACAAGATGCAAGGAGCTGACTGTCAGCACTGTCATCAATGCTTCTGAGAGCAAAGCGATGCACACGTTAGAAGCGCTCCTCGCTACGCCTCTGCTGTCTCTGTGACTGATAAACTTTTCAGGGTAGCAGGCTGGAATGGAAGTAAGGCTGCTTTTTGTTTTTTTCTTCCAGGAAAGAAACCATTGCACAGATGCAAATCACGACTGACAGGTGCTCTGCCGGCAGCCTGCGGTGCAGGTGGGACACAGAGTCTGGCTTTATGTTAGCTCCTCTAATTCTGTTTCAACTGTCATAATTGTGTAGTTATTGGGGGGGGTAATGTATATTTAATATAGAGCCTGCTGGGAGGAGGGTTTGGGAAGAAAGCAGTGCCAAATGCTACTTTTCCTCTGTACAAGCACATACGTCCAGGGTATTGTGGTGTTAATGTCCCCTAAGGAACAAGCTATTAATCTATTTGTGGACCTAGGTTTTTGGCACAGCAGGGCTACACAAAAGGACATGAACTGCTGTAGTCTCTGGATTTTGCAGCAAAAGCAACAGTTGTGATTTCGGCAAGTAGGTTCCCCATGCAACGCACAGGAAAGGGCTTGATGCTCCAGAGCACAATCCATGCAAACTGCTCACTGCACCATAAGCTGGCTCAATCAGCTCAATCAGGGAGCACCGGGGAGGAAGGAGCTCCTTAAACTCACCTCTTCAGGGGGCTCAGACTCTTCATGAAGGGCAACAAGAGGCCCTTCTTTCCATCTGCAGTTCAGCACATTTTGCTCTGCCCTGCCTACCTCTTTGCTCTCATGAGGAAGGGCAACATCCTTAACACACGGCGTGACCAGAGGAAGCAGCAGTTTCCTTGCCCTTCCTTAGCGGTTAGAGCACTCGCTCAGGATGTGGGAATAAAACACAGTTCCGCGTCTACTTGCTGGAACTCAGATCCATCTGTTCAGTTTCGCAAGGGCTGAATTTCCTCAGAAATTGGGGAACTGAACACCATGAGCTATTGTGTAAAAAGACCACTCTGGAAGCTGCTTGGATCGAGCACTGCAGGGAGAGCAGCCTGTCTATGGCTCAGGTGAGATAGACGTGCCACGCCACTGAGCCCCGAAGAAAACAAAGGCGTTTCTGAGAATGGCAATAGCAGGATTGTCCAAGTCCAAGGATTTACGTACAAAAACTTAGGATCGTATAGTTTCCAAGTTTAGATGATCACAGCTGGCTGCAACAGCTGTACTAGTTCCTCCTTCAGACCAGTGCCTGCAACACCCGTGCTCCAGATCAGAGGCAGGAGAGACGGCATCTCTTGTCTACGATAATCAGACCCACCAGAAGAGTCCAAGCACAGTGCTTCCCAACAACTGAGAAATAAATAAATCCTAGGACTATCAGCCCCATCAGAAAATTAAACAAACAATATCCAAGGCCATGCTTGCTTGTTACTTACTAAAATCTCTCAACAAAAAATGAAGCTAAAACTCTGTACATTTGCTATTTTGATTTGCCCATTTTCTCCCACTTCGTTGACTTGCTGAAATGTGTGAGAGCACACACATGGTACAAATTTAGTGTTTTACTTTCCATCCTTCCTGGGATAATGCCCTATGTTTTATGGCTGACCAGCGATCCAGGATTGTAGCCTGAGAAACACTGACAGTTCTTCAGATACTACCATACTTTTCTAAAAAGATGATTTCATTTCTGAAGGTAATGGGGAACAGCTATCCAAAGCCAGGCAAGGCAGTACTCCCTGTCTTGTATTAAGAAAACTCTGACAACCTCATGTCAAAGACAGAGGTCATAGCTGTTTTGTTTGTGATCACAGTTAAGAGTTCAGAGACAAATAAGGAAAGCAGTCACTGTAACAGAATTGTTAGGTTCAGTTGCAGGAATGGGAGAACTAGCTTACACTCTAAACAGGATAAACCAGCTCATACTGGTTTACATAAAACACCCTAAATAACAATGCCAACACAGTGTGTCAAATCACTGAACCAACAGACCACGAGATCAAGTTGCTGTTGGATAATCAACAAGTCCTCTGAGACAGACTGTGCTTATCTTCAAAGAACTGGTATTCACCTACTGATTCTTTAAGGTGTCTCATGCTCTTACACTCCAATTTTCTTTATAAAAACTTAGAATGCCAGAAAGATGGTAAAGTATAAGCATACTATGGAGAATATCTAATCTTCTCTGTTCAAATGCACCTTTTTTGGCTACAGCTATCACACAACCTTCAACATACAGGATGGTGCTAAGCACTATGCTCCTACCAAGTCCCCATTACATGACCCTGCACTTCTCATATTATCTTCTAGACTCTCACCCAGCTGAAGTGGCCTTGGCTGATGTACATGTATAAACATCATCCAGAAATTGCTTTGTATTGCTGCATACCGAATTTAAACCCACCTGCAGTGCACTGGGTTTCTGGTCTGTCTGGCTCTGGCAACTCTGCCTCAGTATGTCCCTGTGCTTTTATTTCTGCAACACAGCAACAATTCAATCACTGTACAATTCTCAAATATGATTCTAGAAATCTGACATAACAAAAGTCCATTTTTTTTTGTCCCAGCAATTACAAATCACAGCTGCCTGCTTCTCAGCTTCTTGGGGTGGTTTGCTTGTTCCTGATGTTTTGGTGCTTTTCAGGGATAGGATTCTGTTTTGATTTGAAAACAGGAAAAAAGAAGGGAAAGTAACTGTTAACCTTAAAAATCTGTGAACATGAAGGTTATGTGTTCTTTTTCAAGTAATGCATGTTATTTCCTGCCCTTTTATTTGTGATTGTAATAATTCTTATGTTGATATTGTAGGAGTCATAAGGCAATCTGCTTGCTTTTAACTATGTTGACCATGCAAACCAGATTTTAATCTAAACAATAAGCAGATTCAAGCCAGAAATAAACATGTTGGTGTCCAAGTAAAGGAAGCCTACAGGATGTTCTCAGAGTAAGATTTTTCAGGATTGGTTCCACTGATATTTCTGAAGTGAATTAAACAGTCCTTTTATTGACACTAACAACAGAAAGCACAGTAATTCCAATCTTGATTTCCATTTCTTAACATTTATACAGGCTACCAGGTTTTTTTGCTTTTTGGCTTTTTTTTTTTTAAAGTGATTACACAGCATAGATGTAGTTAAACCAAATCCAAAATGAATCTGCCCACACTTTTGTCAGTGCTGCATTTCCCCTGACCTATTTACTGAGGAAAAAATTACACTGCAGATTTATGGGGTCTGAAAAAAGCCATTAGTGAGAATTTGATTTGCATAATTAAAGTATCACAGTTGAAAGTAAATGTTATTTATTATCAGAAAAAAGCAACAACGTTGAAGTGGTGTTATTAGGTGGTCACTTGCATTGCAGCAGGGAGAAAGGTCAAAAGCATTTAGCATTTTGAAAAAAGGAAAAGTATCTTCAAAGTAGGTCACTTCCAAACACCTAATTCATTCCTAACAACAATTCACTGTAGCTCCCATAATTTATGAATCCCAAGGATGCACTTAAACATCTGCAATTTCATTATTTTGCATTTCATACCATTAGCTTAACATTTTGATGAATCATTGTGCAGGTAACAAGTCGAGAAGTTGAAGATTACAGTTGCAGGAGAAGCAATGAACCCAGCTGTTCAGCATGACCAAGAAAGGATTATTTCTAATGACAGGTCATAGCAGAGGATTTTCTTGCTGTTGTTTAATACCTGCAACAGCTGAAAAAACAACTGCTTGTTTGAACATTTCAAAATTCTCCAATGTTTTCAGAGGTTTTGTTTTCTAGGGGGTTTTCTTGTGTTTTGGGGAGGTTTGTTTGGTGTGGTTCTTTCAAGAAAGAAGAAAAAAAACTGCAGAGTTCACAACCAACTTGTTTGAGATCTTTCAATTTCATAGAATCCCCCTCCTCTTTTACCAAAGCATAACAGCCTTTCATGAAAACTAGCATGGTAGGCATACCCTAACAGCCTCATGTAAGAACCAGCGCTGTTTTAAATACATTCAACATAAGGTCATGAAGTCTTGGAGCATTTCCAGAATGGCAGAGAAATATTATGCAGCCTCTCTCTCCTGCCCTTCCATAGAAGCGGCCATGGCCGCCGGTAGGGCAGCATCCCTTGAGGATATCCTTTGCCTCACAGGACTTGCCTTTAGCCAGGGTCTGACCCCTTGTTCCAGTTTCCTCTCTCCTTGTAATTACAGGAAGTGATGTCTCAACTATTCCGTGACTTTCAGATTCACACACTTTCTCCAAGAGTTGCTCCATCACGACATCCAGCCATACATGCCTCTTCCATCCTTTTCTGATGCATCCCATGAGGCAAAAGGATTACAGCAACAATGTCTGCTTTTCCCTCCTCTACCTGCATTCTACATTTAGTGTTGGACACTAATGCAAACAGCATGTCCGATTCAGCAGTTCTCAAATAATCAGACAAGGAATACCACTACAAACTTCCTGCACCTTACTGATAACAGCTCCTTTTAGAGTTCAGCACTTGTGGCACTGTAGTTTCAAACAAGCTAAGAGCAGTAATTTCACTGGCTTTCCTTCATCTAGGTCAGGACTTCCCAAGCCGTGGTTTCCACACCATGCACAATGTGCAAAGCCAATTTGAAGAGATATGTCCTAAACCCAGACCCACCCACAGTTGTTTCTCTGGAGGAAATGGGGACAGTAAACACTGCCCATGCAGCTGAATGCTTCCTCCTGTGCCTGCCAGCAGCCCCAGGCCTGCCACCACATCTCTTTGTGTGATAAAAAGTCAATGCAGAAGGTGGAAATTAGCAATCTTCGAGCATTTACTCATCTGCACAAGAATTCTTTTGCTGCTTTGCCCTCTCAGCCTGGGTTTTCACAGAATCAGGCTCTGTGCACAAAGGTATCTGTTTCACCATTCACTAATTTCACTTCCCAGCATGAAGTACAGCATCAGAGACTCTCCTGTGCACATGACAGTGGGTCCTACCAGTCTCTCTGCCTTCCCTTTCCCTGACTTGTCCTGAAGTAACCAACAGCAATTTAGTGAGGATGTGGATAATGTGACTGTGCAGCCATGCAGCTGTGCGGAGTCATCTGACTGCCATGTGGCACTAACTTGGAAGCTAATCTGGATGAAGCTGTCATTTCCCTCATCTTACCTTCCTTCTTTCCATTTCTCATGGAAGTCTCACAGAGATTCAAATGGCATTTTTCCATTCAGAGTATTGCAGCATTTGCCACAATCTCATTCCAACATCAAGAAAGCAAACTTCAGGACATTCAATCAAGTTTTGCATGGCGGGGGGGGGAGCGAGGGGGGGAGGGGGGGGGAAGAAAAGCAATGACAGTAACTCCCATTTCCATGCACACTTCCAGAGGAAGTAGCATGCTTCCAGGAAAGCAGTCCTCTGAGTTGACACACTACACCACTTCCCCTTTCCTGTCCTGATCCCCGTGTAGGCAGCGAGGGGGAGAACCTCTGTGGTTACTGCCTTGGCCCCTTCTGCCAGGCAAGCAAGAGCGAGGAAAGTAGGGAAGAGGACTGCCCGGGCAGCAGCGGCTTAGCTACCCCTGCTGATGGCAGGCAGAAGTGCGGGGTGCCAGCTCTGCCCTCTGCCCGGGTCTTGGCCAAGCTCAGGGCAAGCCCAGGGAAGCGGCTGCCATTCCTCACTGCTCAAGACCAAACTTGTAGGTGTTTAACAAGAGTCACCCAAAGGTCACTAAATGATTCAGTCTGCAATAAAACTTGAAAGTCGTGATGGTGTAAATCTGCCACTTGCTGTAACCACTAAATCACATATAGAAATCAACATCTGTAATGTGTCTTCAGTTTCACAAAGCACGACCACACTTTAAATTTGGGACCTGGAATGCAAGAGACAATTTCCCACCTACTTCAAGAGGGAAAATTAACTCAGGCTGAAGCTCACTGTTTGTTTCGGATAATGTTTTCATTTTAACTTAATCTTTCTGCAGCTCCCTCCCCCCCAACATATTTCCTTAAGGCCTGAGCTTCTTTTCATTTGTCTGCACCACTGAACTGTGCTCTTCAACCAATTTCCACATGTCACTACTTTAAGGAAATAAAGCATTGTCTCGATACAAGGAATTGGGCAAACTCACTGAATACAGGGGGAAATAAACATCTAAAAAAATTGGAAAACCATGGTAAATGCATGACCAAAAGTTTCTGCAAACATGGAAGTACTTCTTCTGTTTCTCCCAACATTTCCAACTACTGTTTTTCTTCTTGGGTCAGTGCTTGCATCATACAGGATCTTTTTTTGAGAAGACACCATAACTAGGAAAGTAACACAAGATTGCTTGAGAGCTGGATGGCTTTAGGCAGTGAATTAATCAATGGTTCCCCCTAAGACCATCCTTCTTTCAGAAGTGGTTGGGACCTAAAGTAACTGGGGAGGTTGAGGATACCACCTCCCTAACCCCTCACCACAGTCTGCTCATGTTCTCAGAATGAGAAACAAGCTGCTGTGGTCAGTGTGTGTCACAGGGTTTCGCAAATAATACAGAAAAACTGATAGGCTCTGAGAAACAAACCAGGGAAAGAGAGACCTCTTTCATTCATTCATGCTCACAAATATAAAATCAGAGCAGTAACACACAAGGTGGGAAAAAATATCCCTCACAATCTACTTGCTTCCTTCAACTCCACAGTTGTCTTAGAACCCTGATCTCTCTCACGTTTTCATCAGTATCACCTCCATAGTGCATATCAACTCCTCTCACCTGGAACACCCAGATAACTCCAGTTCCAACACTCTTCCTAAAAATCTGTGCTCTACAAAAATGAGTGCACAAGCCCTCACCCTGCCTGAACATTCACTGTCCCCGGCCCCAGAAACATAAGCTCAGCAAGGAGAAAACAGTCTAGAGCTCTATTGCTGTCTAATCCACATGGCAGATCAAATTTTCCTTTGTGCAAGTTCCTCAGCTTTTCATTCTCCACTGTACATCCCTTCTGCTGCCTTCTTGTCTCAACAAAAAAAGTCAAAATGCCTCTAAAGGCAGACATATTTCACACAAGATACACATGGGATGCCAAAGGTCCATCTTCTGCTGGAATCACTTGTGGCTTGATCATACTATGATGTTAAGTTCCTGTCAGCCCTCTCCCAGAACATCTGAAATGGGCCTAACTAGAATTAACAACTTCAGAATGGGAAAAGAAAGGGGGTGGAGGGGGGGAAGAAGGAAAAAAAATGACTAAGTGTTTGCCAATAAACCAACCATAAAAGTTCCGTTGAACTTCTCCTTTCTGTGCTTCTCAGATAGTTCTCTTTTTCAGATGGAAAGGGGAACTGTAAAAAGAAAGACTTTTCTGATCCTCTTTCCAAACTGGCATTTTGGTCATCCAGGGTTTGAGGTTGTTGTTAGTGTGTTGGGTTTTGGTGTTTTTTTGAAGGTTGAGTGCTTATTCAAATTCTGCATTTCATGGTCACATCATCCTACCACTAGCAGTGACTCCACTAGGTAACACCCTGTTCCTTAATGTTTAAAACAAAGTACAGAGCTTTTACTCCTGCATGGCAGCCCCAGTTCCAACAGGATCTATGAACAGACCATTTCCCCCTGCTGCGACAGAGCAGAAGAGATGTCCATCACTAACTGTTCACACCATGCCTTGCTCAGAGTTACCACTTCCTCAAATCTGCTGATTTGTTTAGTCTAGTTATCCTTCTGTTAGCTGTTTCTATCAAAATGCCCTTGCTTCAGTTATACAATCAAAAAACTGTAAATCTCTGAAAGCCTGATCTGAGAGGTGGAAAGCTCATGAGACATTTGCTACAGTTAGATATTGTGCATCCACAGCCTTTTGGGGACAGTCTACTCAACTGTCTCAATCTTACCCATAAAATCTCTCTTCCAGAACTACTGCTTAATTTAACATAGCTAAATTGTGCATGGTCAAAAGAAAGACATGTAACATTTTCTAATCCCCTGACAAGACGGAGGATGGAATAAAATTCTGCATATACTTACCTTCCTATCCCTCCTTCTCAAGAGCTTCAGGTTCAATCAGAATTCCTCTTGGCATTCCCCCTCTACCCTGCTGCACTAGGGCTTAAAATAGTAATTAGAGCACAACTTCCAAAAAGGGCAGATCTGCCTCAGCCTGTTTGAAAAATGAAAGAGGAAAAAAAGCAAGATATCACAGCTATTTTTTGCTGGTAACACTGTAATCCAGTGAATAAAGTTGCAATTGAGTTTAACTTGGCTCCATGTCCTTTAATGTAAATATTCTGCTGCTGGCATTAAACATGTTAACATTTGAACATATGGTCCAAACAGCACACTTTTACTGAAGCAAACATCATCAGCTTGAATAAAACCCTAAATACACAGACTCCTACAAAAGAATTTCTTATTAATGGAAAACTGCTAAAAAATATAGTTAATTATTGGGACTGTATGAATAGTTCAACTTAGATGGCTACAGTCCCATCATCCAAATTATTTTCAGTCACCCTGCCAAAGGAATTGCCTCTAGTTTATACTTTCATCAACATGCAAGACTGAAACTAAGAAGAAAGACAGGACCACAGTAGGTCTGTGTTATGTGCAGAAGTTTCTTCATGTAATAAAAGACTTTAACTTCCTACCCCTGCCACCAGGTGTGAGGTGAGAGTTCTGTGTCAGTGACGTAGGAGTGTTTTACAGTAACACAGGGTAGGTCAGCAATCTCCAAACGCCAGCTCAAAGGGTTTGCAGAAGCAATTCCAGTGGTGCTACTTAATTCCTGGAAGGCAGCAGCTCTTCACGGTTTGGTTCCGTGTCAGAGAACTACATGTTGGTTGGTGTTGTTCATGAATGCTCTAGGATTCAGATGACAAAAGGACACAAGAGGGTTTAGTTCCAGGGAAAAGTACTTCCTCAAGGTGAGTCGCACTTTCATGTCCTTTGGAAACACAAGGCTTGTTTTTCTGCACCTCAGCAACATGTGGTACGTAGATCAGCAAGACTTGAAGATACAACAGCATGGATTTAAGGTCCCAATATCCTACATTTTTACTATTTAGGGCATGCTAATTTAACACTTAAACTTGAGTCCTGCTTACATGACTGTTTGTGTTACCAGCAGCCACTCTCCTCCACATAACACATAACTGTCAAAACAATAGCACCATGACACAGTAGCACAGAAGTTGGTAAGGTAAATCTCTGGAGTTCACCTCCTTCACATACCAGCCACTGCCCCTCAGTAACCCACTAATGTTCACTGCTCCTCAAGTTCTCTCAGTGGCAGAACAGGAATAGCATTTAATTTTTCTCCCATATCTGATCTTTTTTTAATACTTAAAATGTTAGCTCTTTGAGGTGCTAAATATATTTTGATGTACCTACTACAATGCCCTCTGATCATGATTATAAGTTCTCATAGATGCAGAAAATGGTCATGGCTGCAAAATTAGGTTTTTTCATTATTCATATTCTAGAAAATACCATCTTTAAAATCAGAAAAAATAGCTTCCTAGTTTTGTTATACAGAATAAGCATTTAATTTTTATGTATTACTCTGTCATCTGATGGGTCAGAAGACTTCAGTGCAACATGGTTTTGAAATGAATAATTTAAAAATAGAAATTTTTAAATAGGATAATATATAATTTAAAAATTCAGAAAGCAAACCCCAATTATTACAGAAGAGATCTGGGAATGAGTCAGCTACATCTATTCACTATACAACTAATCATCATAAAGAAATCATTTTTGCTACACTTATTTTAATAAGCTTATATTTAGAAAGGGATTAGGCTTTTAAGTTAAAATGAAAAAAACCCTGAAGTTTTTAGGAGCTGGTGTGCATATGTTCACTAACTGCTACAGTTTGCTTGGTCCCTTCTTGGTAAAGGGCACATCTCCCCATATCTATTTCTCTCCCTTCTCTGAAAAAATTTCTTTTACATGAGATCACTAGATCACATGTTCAGTGAAAAATATCACATGCTGTGCAACTTGCATACATTATACTTTCAGGCAGACCATAAGCACACTGGTATGATTCAGAGTAGCTGTACTATATATATAACAAAGAGCTTGTACGTCACAGAAACATCATTATGATATTTTCAAGAATTGTGTCACTTCTTCCAAGAAGTATGAATTGAAGAGAGACATCTAAGGCTAATTTGCATTTCAGTTGGAGGTCTCTCCAACCATTCCAGCTCAAGATAGAGTGCTAAGTGAATCAGAGAGCTACATTTACAAAGCAGATAATCAAAATCGGGGAGGAACACCTTTACAGGCTTTGTAGGTAACAGACAAAGGTGTTCCAATGACACTTAGGTCCACAGAAACACAAATCTCAAATTTCTATTTGAATTAGGACAGGAGATGCCATTTTCTTTCCCACAGTTGTGTCTCCTTGTTCTCTCTTCTTGCTCTCCCAGTTGCATGACTAGCTACAACTTTCTTTTCATATGCACTTCACAATAGCTCTTACCCTGACTCTTTTCTCTTCCAGGATTTCCCTTCCACATACATAGAGCTATAGAAACTTTTTTTTGACAGGATTCCAAAACTCCTCTTGTCTGAACACTTAGAAGCTTTGTGCTGCCAACCTACAGGGTCAGACAGACATCTGTCAGTAATAAGACTTCCCTGACCTTTAAAGTTTTTAAGCCTCTAATGCCCACAACATTACTGTAACATAAACAGATACTATCCCTACTTATAGACACAAAAAGGGAGAGAGGTTAGTGTGGTCTGTCAGTCAGAAAATTGCCCAACCAAAGAGCTACGAATTCCTAAACTCTCTGTTCCCAAATTGACACAGGCAAGGAATAAATAATCTAGTTAAATCAAGGCAATAGTGAGACAAGAAGTAAATTTCAGTGAACAGCTCTGTCAGGGGAATTTTGTCCTCACCTGACTGTGCCTTCCCTCTCACCTCAGCTCTCCACGGAGAGCAGGCTGCCAAATGCCACTCAGCTAGACGTGATTTTTTCACTACATAGTAGGTTTCTGAATACCAGGATATTTTCACTTTGACTCTTAAACCAGTTTTGTTCCCAGGCCTCCTATGATTTACAGTTAAAATGTTCAGAACTCCCAGGTGGTCACAAGTTACACTTTGAAACTGGCTTTTCTGCACTCCAAAAAACACCATGAATAGGTCCATTAGGGGACTTTAAGGCCTGCTTAAGAATTGAGTCTAGTCTCCCAAAGAACTCACAAGGACAAAGATGCCAATTTACACCTTGAACTTTTACCACCACTGATGCTCTTTTCACTCCTAAGATAATTACCCCATCAAACAACCCTTGGCAGATCAGTGTGACTAGAAAAGCCTGAGTCTTCAGTCAATCCTTCAGAAAGCCTGTTAGTATAGCTAACCTCATTGTAAACAAAGCTGGATGTATCCTGTTTTTCTCCCCTCTTCAGTGCTGGGACAAGTCTTTGTTAGAAGTCAGACCACTGATAAAAGAAACTTTTCTACTCATTTTACAAGTGCAATAAAGATTACATGGCCTGCCCAAGGCCACAAGATACCCTAAGGAGAAGCAGAACTTAAAGTTAATTCTTTGTATTCCAACCCAAGGTTTTTGACACCAGAAGGATGTTTACTCTTTAGTATACTTAAAATGTGAAATACAAAACGCTTAAGAAAATCCCCAAACCTGTAGTTGGTATAATAGCAGCAGGCAGCAGTCAGTCATAGACAAATCAGTTTCCTAACATTCCAATATCCCTATCCTGATATACACATCAATAAATGAACATAAAGCCAATAACAGCTACGAAGTGCAACCATTTCAGTAACTACACTTACTCTCTTCATCCCAGAAGAGAAGCTTATAGGACCATACACTGATCTATTAGAATTGAACACTGCACACAAAACCAGATCTTCAGGTCTGAAAAAACCCCCTAATTTCCAGGCAAGTATTAATACATACACAGAAGCAAACTACAAGGTGTGCAACTGAACACATGAATTTGCACATGTGTAGTAACACTTGGGTAATGCAAGTATTGTTCTTCCAAAGATAATGAACAAAAAAAGTTAGAATTAAATTTGGTGATATCTGTGAAGACTCCACAAACTTTATGGGGAAAAGCTGATGGGCAGCAGTGTTCTGGCACATAAGACATATTCTTCATGAAATTATTCTTGGCTTCTGCATTTTCCCTTACAAAACGAAACCCTTTTTTGATCTTTGCAAGTAGACCAAATCATCAACAAAAATCTTTCTTTTGACTCAGCACACTGAATCACTCACAAGACTGAATCATTTTTAACTTAGCAGATCAAGAATGAAAACAAAAAAAAAACCCAAACATGCAGCACTACTCGAATTCTGCCTATAGCAGCAAAACACTTAAAAACTTCTGCCACAAGAATTAGCAAGGAGTTAATTAGCCAAAGGTGACAAATAATCACAAAGCAACAATCTACTGCAGTGAGCTTGGCTTTTTTCAGTCTACCATCTAGCCCCCATCTGTAGTTTCAGGAAGAGAGGACTTGCTGCACAGAACAGTAACAGTAAGCTGTGAGAAATCATCAACTGTGTGTGGATCAGTCGTCAGCACTGCTGAGCACCCACGTCATCTCTGCATAACCCAAGAGACTCTCAGAAAGTCAACTTAACAATAAATGCAATTGCTGCTTTCCATTATTTTCCCTCACTCAAAAGACCAAAGATTAAAGTACTATTTCTGAGCACTTATGGGATGCAATTTCAACTTTTGTATGGTAGGTAAGTGTTCTTCTTCCTTGGCAAATGCATCCTATTGACCTCTCCAGTCACATGTAATCAGCATTATTACATGTTGCTCTAACATTTAGGCATAACTGTTTTAAAGCATTTCAGTCACTCCTCTTTAGTTTTCTATTCATTACTTTTATTCACCTGACCCTCCTAGATCTGCCTTATATTCTTTCTGTCCTCTTCGAGCCAACTTTTTTCCTATTCATTGTCTAAGTCCCAGAACTCCTGTCTGCAGAGAGCGGAACCCAGGTTGTCAAACCCAGCAGGAAATCATCTTACACTTCATAGCAAGGGCAGAAAAACAACCTTTGCACCCTCCTGACTTAATATTGGGGTTGAATTCTCACTAGACTAAAATTGAACTACAAGCCATTAAAAAGATTCAATCCCAGTAAAAGCAAAGAGAAGCATGAAATAATACTTCAGTCAGTTTAAGACTGCTTTCTGCTGTGGTTCTCAAGCGTTAACACAAATGGTAACCACAGACAAGTTATGGTAAGGCATAACATCTCCTTGCATAACATCTATGAACAGTTCTCCCAAACATATTTCAGAATTACTTCCTATTCTTTTGGGGGTTTTCAGAGGATGTCCATTGTTACTAACAGCATGAAAATAACATCCTAACAAGGACAATATCACACTATTTTCACAGTCCTTTTATTTTCACACTTTAAAAAAGAATAATGAACATTATTTCCACATAAGTAAAACTCAAACCCCACTTTCCACTGGGGGGATTGATGTGTGGACTCCATCCAGTAAAAGGTAATACTTTGAGCAGCAGCTAATTATAGAAGTAAAAAGAACCTTCACTGTCATAACAGTGAGGAGGAAAAAAAAGGTAACCTCTCCTTTCTCTCCAAAACACACAAAAAGAGGAAAGCAAGATGAAAAATTATCCTTGAAAGAAATATGTGTATTTTATGTTCAACACAAAAAAAAATACAGTTAAGATGGATTTATTTCCTGGAGGAAAAAAAATAACGTTTCTCTCCATGTTCTTACTTACAGAAGATATCAGTATCAGATATTAAAAAGTTCTTTTCATAAAACTATTGCTACACTTAGCTTCCTGCTACAGTGAAACCAATTTTAAATACAACAATATAGGCATATAAATACAAACATACAAATACAAAACAGCCAAAATAAAATAATGTGTTTATTGCACAGACTGTTCTTTTTCCTGAGGAGATCTGAAAAATAATATTCTAATTTCTCTGTCCCATTCCTCTAATCCTCTTATAAGCAGACATTCTCTCCACAGCTATTTAATTACACTGAATTTCTGAGATCCACATTAGTAGCATGCAGTACATTCTGGCAGCAAGGCTATGTGTAACAGCACATCTTTATATCCCACTTGGGAAAAATCTTCAGAAAATGTACACAAACACTTGTCTTCAGACTACTTTCAGCATGACAGTCATCTATTTACATACTCTACATGGAAGAAATATTTTAACATTTTCAAATTTATGGCAGTATTAGGCATTTCCAATCACTTCAATTTTCAGCTTTCCCAAGTACTCCTTGTCATTTTCTTGCACAAAGCCTAATCTGATTTAGAAATCTATTTTTCCTTCTGAATTCATAACCACATTCCAGCAATACACTTAGAAATTAAAAACCACTACTAAAATCATTTGAAGTAAAAATTAAGTAACTTAAAAAAAAAAAAAAAAAAAGGAAAAAAAGGACAGCAGTGACCACTGTATAGGGAAGATAATTTGATTTTACACAGTGCCCTTTATTGTCCAGCTGTCCTTAGGTACTTTATAAAACAGTATGCCTCGAAGGTGTAGTGCCATACAGGCAAATGCAGTAGCTGTTGTGTAAGCTACAAGAGCTCACCTCTAACAAGAGGAAACTCATCCTGAGAGGCTCGATGTGAACAAAAGGCACTCAAGAAACATTTACTCTATTTAAGAAAGACAGTACCTATAGTGCTGCATGCATATAGAATTCTAAACTATAAAATAAACACAGAAAATCAGTACTGTAAGGGTACGTTGGATGCAACATATGCCTTGACTACAAAAAATGAAAGTAGTCCTTAATATCTGAGATTTATGTTGCACTTTTCATACCACACCTGAACTCTTGTGTATAAAACAATGCAGAGCTCTATGCAGATGGGAGAACTTCATCTGCTCCTAAGTGCTGTGGCCCAGACTGAAGTGACTGGTGCTTATACACTAGACAGTATACTAGAGGAGTCTCTAAACCAGGGATATCGTATCCTAAAATCAAAGAAACATTTCCAAAGGTGAAAGCTTTCTTACTAAAAACTTATTCTTTGTATAGGAAAAGTTAGTCCTCCATGGCAAGCCACAGCATAACTTTTTCAGTTCTTTATCTTCCACTTCCCTCCTATGTCAGCAGGATTAACCTTTTGTTTCCGACACTGTACAAAGCAGACAATGCTCACCTTTGGTCTTAGTAACAAGCTGGATGAAGTTGTCTGTCTATATTATCATTTCCTCTCTTTCTACTTAACAGCTGGTTTTTTTTGTCTTTAATGAACACTGTCGTACAGACAAGCCAGATATAATCCTGCAGTAGGAAAAAATGGCAGATATTTTTACCATGAAAGTACAAAACTTAGTTCTGTACATTTTATTAATCTTGTCTCATTGAATGAATAACTAACTGTCAAAAGCATACACAATTCTAAAAATGGAAGCTTTCCATAAGGAAAATCCTTCCTGTATGATGAAACACACAAGTTATCAAAACAGGATGCTGAACAGAGAGCCATGTGCATCCTTACTTCAATTGTTATGGCGTTAGCCCTTCCCAGTTGAATTAATCTTTGCAATGATGTTGTGTTTGTTTTTTTTAAAGCAAGTATGCTCTGCTCATAACTCTACAAAGCATGCAGAGACAACTGGGCACAAAAGTAAATACAACTCAGGAAACAGTCACCTATCAAAGAACATGGTAAACTCCTAAGCCTATTACATAAAGATTACTGTCTACTTGAAACAGATTAAAGTCAGGGTGGCCAGAAAAGCCCTAAGATATAAATTAACAGTCTTCTATGCACTCGATGGCTGGATTATTCCAAAATCTGGAGAACAAGGTTAAAGACAACTTATCTCCCATCTCATTCAATACTACACTTCATGAGTGGATCCAAGCAATTCTGGAGTTCTGAGATGCAGAAATAAACACACAAGCAAGCCCTCCTCTTCCCTCTGTTCCACCCTACACAAAGACAGACATGGAAAGGAAACATTTATTATAATGGCAGTGTTTATTTACAAGAGAGAAGGTTTACACAAGTTGAAAAGTTGTTTCAACAGGAATCCAACAATTAGTGCTCTTGCCCATCTTCAAAAAAAGGGACGGCTTTAAGATTTGATGATGCACCTCCAGAAGACTCTGATGATCACTTGGGACAAAAGTACCAGAAATCAACTAAAACAACAAAAAAGAAAGTACATCAAGAGTGATATGAGTTCTACACAACCAGCCTGACACAAACACTTGAAAAAGCAATATTCTTCACTTTCAGCTACCTCCTCTCCCACAACAATCCCTCTGGGTGAGCTCTATCCCCGACCTGTGCAAAGCAGGGCCCCAAAATAATATCTGTTCACTCTAACAATTAGTTTGGCTGAAACAATCCTGCAACAAGTTACAACATTGTTGTGACCATCTCTGGAAAACATCAAAGACCAGCCAGATTATATTCAGTTGTCTGTCAGAGGTCTGAGATGTAATACTTCGGTAAATAAATGCTGTTTATTGGCATGCCATATAAAAGCAAATGGAATGCAACTTGCTTTCCATGACATGGACTACACAGATGTTACTTTGTACACAATCTGGAACTCGGCTCATGACTAAGTTTGAGTTACTGTTTTCATAATTCCCTCCATCTCAAAAAGAATGTATGCCTTCTCTATAGTTCCTGCCAGTGGAAAATTTTTTTTTAAAGTAGTTAAAAATGAAAATGCAGTATGCATTCTTATTTCCTAAAGAAAAACACATGTTCTGTTAACAAGAAAAACAGTCATAACAGTGAAAAGATAAAGTTTTGTCTTTAGAACTTACACTTGAAAAGTAGGTATGGTTATGACAATTTTGGGAAAAGGAGTTGTTCATTTGATTACTTAGCTACTGTGAGGTATGACAAAAACTAAGGCAAAGCAGCCTATCTCCTCTGCTTTAAAAAGGATAAATGTCATGCATTTGCCTTCCATAATCAATGACAGAAAAATTTTGTCTTCTCATCTTTTTATGTGGACTATGCTTTCACCCAAAAGGAATCTCCTGCAAACCATCCATGAATTTCTGTTACGTTCTATTTAACAGGGGACAGGCGATATGATATGACAGGATATAACTATTATCATTTTCATATACACAAAACCACCTTTTTTCAACAAAACAGTTATGTCAATTTTTAAAGCAAGCAGTTAGAGAAATAGTATGGCATCTGGGAAAAAAGGTACCTTCTGGGGAAACAGAATCTCCATTCACATGCACTGGTGCCTAAAAATGAAACAAACCAAACCAAGGTATCAGTATTTAGTTAAGGTTTTACAGGTAGCACCCAAACTCCAAGTTATTTTACTCCTCAAGGCAAGAGGTATTAACAAAAACAGAACTTTCTCTTGCTCCCACAGGACAATATTCCACCTTACAGATTTCTCACCCCCACTCTACAAATTTCTCTGTTGCTCATAAACGACAAAACAAGCACACGAATAATTAGTGACAGATTAACGCCTTACCTAATGTAAATGGGATTTTCCCACTCTATCATCTTTGAGGATAACAGGACTTGTTTTTTACATACAAAAGGGTAAAAATGCCTTTCCATATTCCACTGTAAGATATGCATGTGAATATACACACACATGCACAAAATTTGCATTACATATATGAAAACAATTTAAAATAAATATGTGATGATACTCTTTTACAATCACACTTTGCAAGAGCACGATTCAGTTCTGCGGAAAAGCGACAATTTCTTTTAAAATTTAGGTCTGACATTTCAAAGCTGGATATGCCATTATTCAATCGCAGTATTACACAGCATGTCTTGTTCTGTAACATTAAGGACAAAATTAAAGCCAGTTTTAACACTGTCTGGAAGCAACCTGCCTCGTGATGAGGATGCAGCCATCCTCCACTGCCCTTCCTTAGCACAGCGCAGCACTTGGACTGAGCTGCACTGATGTAACATTCCCTGAGCAGGCACAAGGCTCTACACACTGAGGAGCGGATTGAAGCCTACGAGGAGGGAAGGGAGGAGGATTCTTCTTCCCACTTCAGGCAGGAAGGGGGGATTATGTGACTGGTCTGAAAGGATGTACCAGTAAGACAAATGTAACCCAGGTCTTCCAGGTCATACCAACAGACTATCGCCTCTCTTTCCAGTAAAACCCAAGCTTTACCTCATAAGGCAGGGAGAACCAGTGGTCACCACGTATAAGCAGATGCCTGCCACTTCTCAAAAGTGCTCAATTGTTCTAATTGCTCAAAAGGTTTGATCCCCCAGGATCAGATCAAAACCTCATCCCACTGAACAAGGATTCTCTTCACTACACAAGACTTTCAACTGGAACACCATTTAAAAACCAAATAAATTAATAAAAACCAAACTCCAGAGTAAAAAACCCACCAATCTTTTGTTTCACAACTGAAAAATGTACAGAAAATTCTGCTTCTAGTAAGTCCCAAATGGAAATGTCCACACAGAAAGCATGTAGGGAGAAAGGCAATTAAAAGACTTTCCTGCTTAGTTCTGAATTATTCAAAACACACTAGTAAACATACAGATTCAAATTTGTTTGGAGATTTTTTTAAATTATCAGGAAAAGTCAAATATTTTCCCCTGTAAAACACTGTTCTGCATTTTATCAAAAGAGACATCATCTAGCAAAGCTTTCCTAGCTCACTTTCCAATATTATAAGGGAAGAATTATGTGATATGTCTGAGAAACACTGCCCTACTAACTATATATAGATTGTCTTGGAGATTTTCCAACTTGCAAAGTCCTCAGCAGCTTCTTCAGAGAGCAAGCAGTTCTTAGGATTAATGTTAAACAAAGGTTTGGCGGTCCTGGTCAGTTTTACAGATGGCAACACTTAAAAGCCTCAAATAAACAGTATATCTTAGCACTAACAGGTTCATCTACAAAGCTCTATTCCCCCTGAGTTTAGTTTTCAACATATACTGACAGTGAAGCTGAGAAGGAGATGAAACAAATTTCAGAGGCTAGAGAACACTAGAAATTTTCACCGCGTAGTGTTAAAATTCAACTAGGTTTGTTGTTGCAGGGGTCTGGTGCATTTTTGGCTGGTTCAAGTGAACAGTACATGTGCTTATATGCACAGATTATCTTCCAAATCTTTGGAATTGACTGAACATGGCAACTTCACCTGTTGTGGAATCATTCCTAGTTGGCCACCAATACAGATGACAGTACACATGCCGGGAACTAACTCAATGGAGTGGAAATTCTCCAACGCAGACAAGCATTTTAACCCCCATCAGTAAAATACTGAAAGGTCAAACAATTCAGAAATCAACTGTACGAACTTGGGAATTATCCAATCAAAATCTATATGAAATTCTGATTAGTGCACAATTTGGTAAACATTTGATAAGGATCTGAATGGTTTCCATTTGATTTTTAGTTATAGTTCTCCGGCTTGCCATGAAAACAGTTCCATAACAATACTGAGTGTTGCCTTTGGGGTTTTGGTGTCTTCTTTCAGGTTTTGTTTGTTTTGGGGGTTTTTTGAGAACATATATCTGATTTAAGGCAATTATCACCCACTCAAAATGCCACAATTGGAGTCTGACCCTGGAAACAGAATTGTAGGTAACCAGCTCTCACTGAACAAATAGCTCAGATGTTTTGCAGTAGCTAAAATATGTTTCTCACTGTACTTGCATACAAAATCTCTTCCTCAGCTTTCATATTTTGTTTTCATCCAGGAGTTAATAGACGGATATAAATCAGAAGGAAATGTATCTGCTTTTAGTTTATATAAAAAACTCAACAAAAAACACAAACACCCCTGCAGACAGACACAGGCAGTTTTCACTTAAAAATCACCACAGCCATTAAAATTCTGCAGCCAACACTCACGTAGTTTCACTTCAGTGTGAAAGAGATGAATGTCTGACAACCAAAGCATGCAGTATAGTGTACTAGACAAAAAGATACCTGCTTAAAATGTGCAAGTCAACCTCCCAGCTTATATTTAGAGTTCAACTGTTCACTATTCCTATTTCAAGGTCATTTAAATTTTTTTAGTTAGCGTTATTTTTAGTTATCGTAGATTGGCAATTGCATGCAGCATGAACAGTATTTAATAGAGTATTGCATATTTTCCCAGTCTGGAAAGTGCCAAGAGACAGCACCCATCAAAGACATAATTAAAGACTTAGACTGAACTGAAACAGAATCATGCAATGGAGTATGTGGAGACAACTTTGCAAAAACATTATCACTTAAAGAAAAAAATGTGAGGTACAAAAAAGCCAGGAAATGATACTATTTGATAAGAAGGCAAGCTTTCATAATAAAAAAAGCATTAAAGTTTGATACAAGGTGCCTGTTTTATGAACTGGTTTTATTAACGTCCTCCCCTCAAAACAAGAAAAAATTTGATTTGTTATTAAGAGACCAAGTAAGGCATACTGATGATTTAATAATTATTTACCCTACGTGCTTCAAAATACAAAGAGCACAGAACGCAAAAGGAAATATTCCTTTGCAGGTGTGTCACCATTCAAATATGTCGAGACTTGAAGTTTTGGTTGCATTTGAAGACTCACTAAAAGTTATTGCAAATTTGAAAGTACAGAGGAGGTAAATATTTGCCTGTGACTGACATGTCTAAAACCATACCTGAATTCCAAAATGTGTTTTTCTTTCATTTAAAACTTACAGTCCCATTAATCAGCATTCACAAAATGCAACGATAAAGGTACTTTTAAAGAAATGCCGAAAGCAGGAGACCTCTGTAAGAAAAAGTTTGGTTTGATACTTCTTTATGACTTAAACCAACTTTTCTTTACAACTGACAGTCTTATTTGCTGGTGACAAAACAGCACCCAGGACAACACATTCTTCCTAGAAATGCTGTTGGAATGTTAACTGCACAGACAGTGGATGGCGTGTCCTTTGACACCTGAACTTGCATAATTACTGTGACTATTGAGGCAAAACACTGGGTGCCCTGGCAACCGTGCACATGTGCAAAATACCTGCTGCACTCATGTGGTCACGAGCACAGGCTCAGTCACAGCACATGTTAAAAAAGAAAAAGTAATACTTGGGGGCACTTTTCTCCATGTAATTTCTGGTAACTTTGCTTAATTTCTGCCATCCAAACTAGCATATTTTGAAATGGAAAAAATTCTCCTCCACTAACATTTGCACATGAAAGCATCAGACCTGCAGGACATTTTTCTTGCCTGAACAAGAAACCAGCATGTTTTAATTTTATGTTAATTTTCAGAATATGACAGGCAATCTTTAAGAAACATTCAAAAAAGCATCCCACTCTCTTACAGTATTGCATTTAATTATACCAGCAGACAAACAAAGGGTCTGCTTAGTGATTAGGGACTATAGTCAGCTAGTCAATGACTTCTAACACTGAGTTGTAACTCATGGCAACAGGGAGACAGAGAAGACAGCAGACTAGATACAAATAGCAGTCCATCTTGCTATTCAGGATCAGAAGAAACAGAACTGCGGAGGGATGAAAAAAAATAAAAAAACAAAACCAAAAAAACCCCACCAGAACAGTAATGAACCTGCTAGAAAGCACAATTGGATCACTGCAATGATAGTTTTCTATAGCAAAGCTTACTCTTCCCCCACAGCCTTTGTGCTCCTGCTTTTACTTTATGCCTTAATTTTTTGCTTAAGGACCATTTCAGTTTAGCTACTTTCTTTCAATTCTGGAGCTCTGAATCTTCTTTTCCTATTAATTGTTAAAAAAAAAAGGGGAGGGTGGAGGGGAGTAAAAACCCTTACCGACTGAACAATTGACCGGGCATCCTCCTCACTGCAACAAAATGGGCTGCCACTCACCAGAACATTTGTGCTGAAAAATTAAATTAAAAACATGCTTTATCAATCAGTGGGAAAAAGCCACACACAATTAAGTACCTATGGAAAAAAAAAAACACCTTCACATAGAGAGCTGTGTATCTGCAAGAAATGAGGAAGTTAAAAACACTAAGCAACCAGTAAGGCTCAAAGGAACAGGCATGTGGAAGAGTTCGTTGTTCCTTTGGGTTTGAGGGGGTTTTTAGGCTCTATGTTCTACATTAGTGCAAGCAGTACTCACACTCAGTGCTTCTGGCTGCTAACTTGGGTACAGTTCAGAGGACCACAGTGAAGAAACCAAATCCCCCCAAAAAGTCAGCACAGATAAGCTGGCACTTCCTGAGGCAGTTGAAGAACACCTAGATGGCCAGCACAGATGGTGTGAATACCCCCCATCTCTTATGCCTTGAAGGATGAACAGATTCTGTGGCAGGTCACAGAAGTAACAGCAGGTTACTTCAGTAACCTATCTGCAGTATCTAACAGGAAGGAAAAGCAGGCGAAAATTCTACTCTTACATAAAGGAGGAGATACCTATAGTACTTCCAGACAGCAGACAAACTCTGGGGCTAAATCCCTTGAAGAAATGTTTCCCTATGAATCTGTATCCTTTCACACAGAAAGTGAGTTTGGTCATGAGTTTTTAATGCCCTACAGAGTAAACTGCAAGAACTTCAATTACTCAAAGTAAGACTGCTATTTTAATTTTATTTTTTTTAATTTTATCAACATGAAGCTCAAAGTGCCTCTTAAATGATAAAGACCAAAATTTGAATATTATCCTACAGTATTCTTGCCATGCAAAAGTAAAATTAACAACCTGTCCAACTGCTAAGGTGTTGGGCAATTGCTGGACAATCAGTTCCAAGAAAGAGAAAGTCACATTTCCCCAAAGCAGAAGACAACAATAACTACCTGAGAACAGCTCTTCCCACAGCCTTTGCCCTCTGGTTTAGCCAATGACAATCTACAGTCCTTGGAAAGCACCAGCCCTGCTATTCAGGGCCTCTAGTGCCAGAACTGCCAATGCAAACCAGTCCAGAGAGTTTAATAAAGTCCATTTTAATTCAGACCAGGCCAAAGACTAGTAAAGAACAATAGTTTGGTTCTCTCACTCCAGAGAGCAACTAAAAAATATGGAATGCTAAGCTGCCAAAGAATTTTGCAACAGAGCAGTGCAACAGTGAAGGATAGAATAAACAGTGACAAGAGGACTGGTATAGGATACCAAGATTCTCCCCAAACGATCTCGAACACTCTAGGGCCATTCCTCGAAAGCCAAAGTAATCTATGCCACTTTTATGTAATGCCACTTACCAGTAAATCATCATCATACAAGGTGCAATTAATCAGTCATGCTCTATTATCAATTAATTATCAATCAAACCCATGAGTATTCCTGTTATCTCAAACAAAAAAAAAAAATTAAGCAGTTCATGGACAGCAGCAACATGTTGAATAGCACCAGTACCAGCACAACACAAAGAGCAAGAGACACGACTGGATACTTACCAATTAATAGTACCTCCATCAGCTTTTTTATGAAGCAAAGCTTTCCAGTGTTCATGGGTGGATTTAATAATTTCAACAGCAAAATCCTAGTTTACATGAAGGAAAGTTTTATGAATTAAACTGTTAGTTAACACAAAAAAAAGCCACAGAACTAGTTTATTACAATATACTATTTCATGTGGTATTTTAAGGGGCCTCCTTTGAGGCCTCATTAAATTTCTGGAGAATATAACATCCTTTCTATGAAAAGAAACAAACTTCACTATCTTTCAAATATACTGGCTACACATTCAGAAGTTCCCTCAGTCCTCAGCCAGAAAATATGAATGGTGTATGAAAGAAATGAAATCAGCACTAGATGCTAAGCAGACCCCTACTGCTGCAGAAAGCTGTACAAGGTCCTAAATGGGACAAAGTGTGTGAGCTATGACTCTGCTGCTACATGTGAGCATCAGGGTCAGAATTAGGGTTTCCCCTCCAGTAACAAAATTTGCATTTACTTCATTAATTGCCCAATCGTATACTGAAGCATTTGCAAGAACGTAACGTCAGCTGCTTAATAGTTTCTGTTTGTTTGAAACAAGACTAAGCTTAAAAAAAAATAAAGTAAAAAAAGCCCTCAGTATCCAGATGATGATAGCTAGACTGGCTTGCAAAAAAGCTGCCAACAGAACATTCACATTTCCTAACAAGGAGTGACTTGGAAAAGTGCCACTGGAACACTGTGAACTTCACCAGTGCTGCTGGAGCACAGCCACAGCCGCCTGGCCACACCCTGGGTCTCTAGAAATGCTTGAGAATTATTCAAGTGCTCCAAACCAGCTATCTCAGAGCATTTAGTGCCTCCAGGCTGAACTCCAATGGCCTGACAGGGGATACGCCGTTCAACTGTGGCTACAGGGCCACACTCTGCTTTACAGCACAGAAAATCTCTAAGAGCTGTTCTGGGAGAACAGAGGAGAGGTCAGGTTATCAAACCTTACAACTCCACACTTGATTGATTCTAAAGACAGTTTTAGTGCAGAAGGGAGTCAGGGCATCTCTTTAACCAGCCAAAACATGTAAAGTTGCCTGTGCTAGTTAGAAGACATTATATAACTTAGATAGCACCCTGCAAGGTGAACTAGCTGACACATGGACATCATTCATTAGAAACCTGTGATTCTTTGCCAAGAATAATCTACAGAGTGTGTAATATACAAGTTGCAAAGCAATTTTACTGAAATCACATCCAATTTCCTCTGGAAAAATCCAGGTATTTTCTTCAACAAAGTCTACTCCTGGGTCCATTCCTCTTTCAAACACCAGCCATTTTAACTGTAGGTAGTTTAAAAAGCCATTCATATTTTCTAAAAAAAAAAAGGGGGGAAATATTTTTTCAGCCTTCAAGCCAAACAGTTCAAATGTTTTTACACAGAATTACCAGGAAAAAGTATATCTTGAGAAAATACCTAATATGAAAAAATCTGCAACCCATTGTCTGCATAGCCTTAATAAAAGTCAGAAATATTATCAAACAGGACTGAAAAAACACCTGAAAAGACAATCTGTTCATTACTCTGACAGAATGAAAAATGCCTTGAAAAACACCTACAAACACACAGATGTGTGTGTAAGTCTCATCAGCATTAGGACTGAATATTTTTTGTAGACTTCCTTTAGTAACCTATGCATTTTCCCTGAATAAAATGGACAGCAGCAAATATTATTTAATCGTAGCCTAATAAATTGTATTCAGAAGTCCCTCATATCAAAATTCTTTTCATTAAACCTCTTCCTTCACAATTCCAAAAATTCTAGGAGGTATTATAGAGGCCACATGAGAGAATGATGCATCTTTGATTTTGCATTATCTTTACCTTGTCTTTAAATTCTCCATTAAAAGCAAAATGATTTTCTGGTTTATCATCAGGGACTTTATATAATCGGAACCAGTCAACTGTAGCCTCAAGGTAACCTGGTTTGTGCTTCTTGACATCATCAATATCTGTAGGTTGAAAAGAAAAAAAAAAAAAAAGACTGGATCATTTTTAATCATTTTTAATCATAGGTTTTGTAACATTCATTTTTTAAAATTTCCTAGAGGATCTGCAAGCAATTTGATTGCACTGAGCACTTTCAAAGTCATTGGGGAACTTCACTTTATTACACTTGCTGCCCAGAGTTGAATATCTTACAATTTCACAGCCACACTAAGCAGGTAAACCAGTTGCCTCCTGACATTCGTTAATTAAGACTCAAAGGGACAATGAATAAAAGGAAGATATTTGTGACAGGAGAAGAAGAAAATTCCATATTTATAGACTTTCATCTTAGTAGGTATCTCTTGCAATACTTACATTATTCACTGAGGTAATTTTTTTCCCCAGCAACTGCAAGGGCTACAAGCATTTTTTGATAATGAAAGAATAGCTAGTAAAAACAATTTCAACACATGGATTTTTAAACTAGCACCTCAAAACAAAATATAGGCATGACTTCTCAAAGTTGTATTAAAGGCATCCCTTTGCTCTTCTGAATTTATGACTTCCAAATTCAGCCCCTTCAATAAAAGACAGATATGTGCCAGGAGCACTAAACACTAACTTTACTGATAATGCCTTGGTATCTGCATATGATAAGCACATCACAATGATAAGCAAGTCTACCTCTACCTCTATAATCCCAATGTGCAAACAGGACACAAAGGGGAACGTATGCCATTTGTAGGACACCCTTGTGAGGCAGAGATGAACACTGCCACAGTGTGTACACTGAGATTAAACACTCACATAGTAATTCTGCTTGAAGACTACACTGCTGTATCAAAATGCAGCTCATGATCTTAAATGCTTACTTGCAATGGGGTGGTCCTATTAACCCATGGGCAAATTAATTCCCTGTCAATATGTTTACGCGGTAAAGCCTTCAATACTTTTCTAATTGATTTTTATACAATAAAGGATTTTGTCCTTTCCAGAAACCAAATACTCTGTATCTGGTGTAATCTTTCTATTTCCCTTTTACAGTCACTTCTGAGGGAAATGGGAGCTGACTTTATTGCTGTAGTCTTCCAGTTATTTCATAACTTTGCTCTGCTCAGGCCACCTTCCATAGTGTTACTCTCCTTCTCTACCGTTTTGCAAGTCACTCACTCGTGTCTCCCTTCCCTATTCCCTCTTGCTCTCTCTCAATACTGCTTGGCTACTTCATTCTCTTCTCCCATAGATATGCCTCATTTAATGACATATGCTGATTAGCAGTGATTCCTGATAAGATACTCTTCTGTCTACCCAGTCCTAAAAACCAGATTTTCAGAGTTGTTTAGTCCATGGAATTGACACCTATTTACGTGCTTTCCATCTTGAAGTGCCTAAATGTCTTTTCAAAATTTCATCGTGAACCTGAACAAAGACATTAAAGTATTTCTAAAGAGAGTAGTAAGAGATGAGGAAAGGTCTTGTGCTACAGGCCATTCAATTCTCAGTAGACCACCATAAGAGATGACATGTGGACTGAACTGCCAGGCCAAACCTCTGTGCAAAGATATGCTGAGTATTCATAAGCATCTGACAGATGCCACTCCCAAATTCCACTGCATTACACACTACGCAGAGAATAAAGCATAAAACCTTGAAGAACCCCATGTAAATTTTTGCTTTTGCACACACTCAATAGGGCTACGTGTTTACGGACTTGGAGTAAAACACATCTTGAACTTGGCTGCCAGCCATCTGTCTATAGGAGATTAGGGAGTTGCATTGGCAGAATCCCAGAAAAAAACAAGGGCACGTAAGGCTGTGCTAGAGGCAGGTCTTCTAGCTGGAATACGTGTATAAGAGCACAAGAGGCATTTCACTAGGATGGGTGGGCAAGACCAACCAGAAGGAATGATTTAGAAAAGGGTGGGATCTTAGTTGGAGCCAGAATGCTCCATTTGGTCACTAAAAAAACTGCAGCTTCAAATCGCTTTCAGGGCTCCAGTGCATCTTCCTGTTCCCACCAAGCAAAAGAATATCCCTCCTCCAACTTGAACCCTTGTCATCTCCTCCTCTTTTGAGGTCTGAATTCACAATTTATAGCATTTGTTGAAAAGACAGTATCTCCTCAAGTCTGTAAAGCAAACCAGGCTGCTGCAGCAATGTCCTTGGCTCCCAGCAGTGGACAAACTCCAGATCTCTGTCTCCAGACACTACTTAAATTCGAGCATGCTTTCTCACACTGCTGCTCCTTTTTTCTGGTTCCTGTTCCAGCAAATCTCTCTCCTAACTCTGCTTCTCCATTCCCCCTACTTGGTTATTTGCTTCCCATTCCCATAAAAACTGTTCATCAAAAATGCTTTACTGTCTACTAACTGACACTTGGTCCTTCTCAACTGTTGTCCCTTATTTGTAAGTTTTATTTAAATTTCTTTAAATGACTTAAAGATTAGGATAGGCTTTGGGACAGACTTTACTTCCTTATGATAGGGATGACCATCTTCATGGATAGAATTATCTCCCTGAATTTCACGCTCTCTCTTACCAGAAAATACCTTGCCTAGGTAAAATGACTAAACAGAATCAGGCTACAGCTTTATATGGCTGCTGAATACTCTGTCTTCGAGGACTTAAGAAGACAAGCATTGGCTGCTTTTATTTCCTTGGTTCCTGGCAAGTTATTCTCTTTCATCCCTGTGCTTCACTTCACTTCTCTATACTATAAAGGACAGCTACTGAGCATTAAATGAAGCTTAAATGCTTGAGGAAAAAAAAAAAAAGACCCAAAACATCTGTATTATAGTGGGAGTTGGTGGCAAGAATAAAGTGCAACAATGCAATAAAACAAACAAACAAAAAACCTGAACCTGTTGCTGTGGAGTCAGCACATAGTAGAAAATATAAGGAAAACAGCAGCTCTTGCATCACTAAACAGCCACCTGATCAGTTCATTAAAAGTCACCACAGAAAAACTTTAAAGACAGCTCATCTTCCACTCTGAAATCCAAACAGCCTCCTTGGGACATCAGGGGGAAAAGGAGAAAAACATACTCAGAAAACAGAAGAGCAAGCAAAGAAAGGTGAAAGAAAAGATCACAATAAGCAGTACCATGATTTACCACACTAATATCTATAGAAGATAGCTGCAAACTAGTTTAATTGAAAAAAACAAAAACAACTTAGATGTCGTTTCTACAGCAAACACTGTTAAGACACTTTTTTCTGACCCTGACTGCTTACCTTCCCTCAGAGCTATATACTTACACTGATGTCAAAACGGGCTAGGCAGGTTTGGGAGTAGCAAGCATGTACATGGCCCATGAAACTATGGTAGTTCATCTCTGCAAGCAAGCCCTGCTCAAAATGACAGAGTAGAAAGGCCAGGCTGCCACAGGTACCAGCCAGCAGGTACTCACTGGGCTCTGGGTGGTTATTTCTTTATACTGTCTACATAAAACCACAGGTCTCGTTTTTCTGGGCACCAAAGTTAAGCACCAAGGGTTAAAAAGAGATGGCTAATCACATTGAGGGTTGCAGTATAGTCTCAATAAGGAAAATCTCTAGAGGCTGGCACAAAGAACTGCTGCTAGCTGTCTGTCAAGGGAGTGAGCCAATGTGAACACAGATCCCACTTCTATCTGGCTTTACAAAAGAGAACAACAAAAGCATTTGTACAAAACTACCATTTTTAGTACAACAGATGCTGCTTCTTGCAAGCAAAGCTAAAGCAACATGCTTGCAGCAAGCTTTCTAAACAAGGTCTGTGGGAAGAGAGGACATATGTTTTTAATAACATCTTATAAACATTTACAGGAAGCAGCAGCTACATTCCATATAAAGGCATTTGGTGTATTTTGAGCAGGGGGTAGGAGAGGAGCCTTGGTACATATAATTAATTTCTTTATACTGAGTGCTTACACAAATCCACAACAAAGGTTTTATGGGCCTCTGCTGCTTCTCTGCATATAAATACACTCATATGCAAGGAAGGGTCTGTAACAATATATACAATATACTTTGGTTTTGCCATTTAGGGTTTGATTGCTTAACCCTATCTTGAGACGCACTTTATAAAAGCAGCATGGCAACATCACGGCTAGGCTTCACGACAGCACACTTAACTACACCAGTGCCAGCAAAAGGCAGAGCAACAAAGTCACCAGACATCAGCAACAGCTGCTGAATACATCCAGGCACCTTTCCAGTGAATAATAGCAAAAAATGGCTGCTAAGATTCCAGGCTGGTAAAACATCTCCCAAATGCCACCCAGCACACATGACTAGTCCAATTTGCAGAAGGAAGGAGAGCTGACCTTTTGAGAGTCAGACTCTTCATAAGCTGCTTCAAACACAATTCCTGCTTCAGCTGCCAGTGACTTTTAAAACCTCTTGGCCAACGTGAAGAGGCACATACATTTAGACCAAATCACAGCACAAAAACATCACTCCTCCTTCATGGCCTCAACCTAGTAAAGTACATCAGATATGCATGTAAACTCCAATATATTAAGTTCAATCCAAATTATGAGGTAAGCAGACAAGCAGCCTTTCTACTCCTGGCTACTATTTCACTGAAAAAAAAAAAAAACCAAACAAAAACCCAACCAAAATGCAACAACAACAAAAATAATAATAATAATAAGAAAATCAACCAGGCCTATTACATCACCAAAATTTAGTGTTTCAGTCTGCAAGGAGCTTTAGGTCCTTTCTTAGAGTTGCTTGGTCTAAAGTTACTTTGCTGGTCCACTAATGGCCATCTGCCTAGCAACGCCTGAGCACAAAGACAATAGCCAATAAATAAATCTGAAGATGTCTAGTTTTACTCTAAAAGAAACTTTCACACACAATTACCTGCATCTGACATACAGCTTATATTTGGTGTGAGATTGTCCCCACTTCCACCAGAATTAAGTGCTATTATTTCAAAGAGATTGCCTTCCAAAGTCAGTCCAAAACGACACTAAGCCCTTGCTATTCCCACTGATGACATAGTTCCCACTTGAATAGGTGCTAAGCATTGCTAATCATTCCTGGGTATTGTCACTGTAAATTAGAGTTTCTCATTGCTCTGTGTGAAAGAGAGAGTTCTAGGCAGGGTCTTCAATTTAAACCAGTATTTATCAATAAATGCCTGCAGGACACAGTACAGCGGAGTGCTATGAATGAACAATGAGAACCACTCAGAAGTTGGGACTGCTCAGTTCTAAGTTCTGTGAAGTCTCAGAAAAATCAGTGGCACTCATGAGAACATTCACGATCCCAGAAGGAGAATATACAGAGTACCTGGGGTGTGCTTAAAGCGGTAAGAGGAGTTAACACACTGCGCAGGCTCAGGATGGGGCTTGCGAGTAATCACCGCTCTGGTGTCTCGGAATTATCTTTTCCAAATGTTCACTGGGGGCTGTGCACATACTGAGCTGAAAGTAAATGTGATGATTCTCAGTCCAATTGGAAATGTTTAACAAATTATACAAAAGTGACTGGACAGGACTAGAAGGCAACACTTAGCCTCATCTTCCCCAGGAGGCCACCTCTGTAACAGCAGCACGTGAACTACTGAAGAGAGACCATTTATATCAGTAGCTGCCATCCTTTTACGTTGAAATAATTAACAACTTTGGAAAGGGGGAAAAACAAGTATAAAAGGACATATTGTACTGCTGGCTCCAACAGATTTGTTTGTTTTCAGACAGGAGAATGATTGCTGTTAAACACTGCAAGCCAGTCGTGTTTTGTGAAAGCAGATGGGGGCTTTTTCCCCCCTTTTCTTTCTTTTGTAAATTCTAGGCTGTAACTCCAATCCCAAAGGGAAATCATATTAAATTGGATAAATATTTCTGCACTTCTCTGTATCTCAGGGCAGTTCTCAAAGTTTTGCACATATTCTTTGATAAGAAAGTAGGCACTCAGGAACAAACTACAGGCAATAGTTTGCCCATACTCCCCCCTTTTTTTTCTTTACAATAAGATTAAAGCTCCTACTCCCCCACTCCCAAACAAACTAAAGCTGTAACAGAATTTAAGTAAATCATTACCTGGGGGGGGTGTGGTGGTACAAAACAAAAACCAACCAACCAACAAACCAGCAGAGGACTTTAACTATCTGTTAATCCAAAATAATAAATAATACTGGAATAAACTGCCACAGTTTTGCCACAGAGACTTAGTAGACTCCTTTTAAATTCTTTCATCCATTTTTCTGACTACATTCTCTCAGAAACTGTTAAGCAAAAAATGTAAGACTTTAAACAGAACAGTGTCTAGAAATGAAGGGCCAATTACTTGTGTTTTAACTACTGACACTTATGCATTTTGCTGCACATCACAGAGTGGTTTAAATTGATACTAACATTAACAGCAAACTATTACTTACTATTTCCTTAAGCTGAACTTCTTAATCTCTATCAAAGTGGTTAAAGAGTCATAAACACTATGTAGTAATTCATCTGCCCAATGATTTAAATCAGCATCAACCCAAGAGTTTCCTTTTCCTCATCTCCTCTTCTCCCCTTCTTTCCCCACAAGTCAAGTATTCTCCATGCGAAAGCAACCTGCAAGAAAACTGAGAATGAAGGGCCAGTCCAGTGACATACTTACTTTATGTTCAGAAACCAGGATAAAGCCTCAATGGCTGAGGAACATAATTGCTTAAAAAACTACTGGACAGCCCTACTCCTACAGAAAGGCCACTCTGTGCCTTGGTGCTCCCAACCAACAAAGAACTCTGATTGTACATACCTGATGGGTATTGATTGTGTGTGGATATATATATGTATATATATACACATGGGGTTTGATCTCATAACAATCACTTTTAGACAAACCTCCTCACTTAATTCTCATGATTCTCAAACACTGCATTTGAGGAAGACAACCTCCATTTATCCAGAGAAAAGCTGTACTTTACCTGTGCTGTAAAAATTAGATCTCACCTGCTATTCACGTAGACACATTTCAGTATTTGAATTTCATTTGCATACCAGAAGAATGGTAACAGGGAATATAAGTCTGAACAGGATATTTCCCCCTGCTCACTAGGGTGAGCTGCACTAGCAGTTTACTTTGCAAATTTTCAGGCTAAAAGGGGAAACACAGTAAGCAACAAACCCTGGAAGTAACACACTTACAAGTGACAAAGTACTGGAAATATACACCCTTTTCAGAATGCAACACAATGCCTGCAAATATAACAGGCACAAACACTTTCAACAAGGAAAACAGCAGTGTGCTATATAACGCAAGTGGGTAAATATTCACTATTACACAGGAGATAAGCCTGTAATTTTAGGAGGTCACTTTCTAAGGCAGTCGTGTTTCAGAAGTCAAAAGACTTTCTGTATGACAGGTCCTCTTGAAAATCCAAGTGAACCATTTCAAAAAAGTTTACTGTGAAAGCACATATACCCTCCTTGAAGGAAGCACCTGACTTAAACAGAACAATAAAAGAAAAGTCTTGCCTTTCCACTGTGTGCCTCTTCTTGTCCTGGGTGGTCTAAACTCAGGTACCATTCTACTGTGCAAGTTGCGGACCTAACTGGCATTAAGAAAGACAAAATACTTGCCATGGATTTTATGAGCTTCTGGGTCATCCACACTGATAGCAATTATCTTCCAATCTGTCTCTCCTTCATCAACAAGAGCTAAAACACCCAAAACCTTCACTTGAACAATCTCACCAGAAGAACGAACCTGAAACAGAACACATCACAAAGATGTGGAAAACACCACAAAGAATTTCTCCTTTACCTTACAAAAAAATAGATTTACTACATTTTTGACTAGCAGCTATAGCACTATTGCAAGATAGATCTGCAAACCTAGCATACATGTATTTAACATTTCTAGCCTTTCTCCTGCTATTACTATTTGTCAACCCTCAATCCTCTAGTCAGCATTTAAATACACAAGAAGCTAGAAAATATTTCCTTCCTTTTCACACTAGTTCCTCTCCACTTTCTTGATCGTCACTCCAAACTGTAAGTCAAAAGTAGCTCAAACTCATTTTTTAACTTATTCCTGCCTCTTGACTCTCTACTTTTCTCAGCTCGGGGTTGTAATTTATCTCTTGTTATTCCTTCCTCTAGACTCCAATATACACACATAAACACAGCCCTTCCCCAGAAATAACAGCACAACTATTTTTCCATTATCTTAGGAACCTTCTCCCTACCAGAAGATACTCCCTTTGTAACTCCTTCTGGATCCCTTGAAATTCATCTTTAGGCTCCTCACCTCAAATAGTCAGTTACCACCTTCACTGAGGTCACCAATTAAATTTCCCCTTACCTAAAATATCCCAAGAAATCTCTCTTCCAAACTCATTCATTTCATAACCTCATTTTTGATACCACAGAACATTGCTCCATTCTTCACTGCCTCTAGATATGTACATTTTTCTTTCAGTGAGCTAAACCTTTTCTTTATACCTACTAATGGTGTTTTCTGCATCTCTTTTTCATCCATCCACTTTGTGACTCATAAATCTGCAACACGGTAACAGGTTCCTGTCTTCTCTAGAAGAGGATCTACTTCTGTTTGCACCCATGAGTAAACTCAAACTTACCTCCTTTGTGGGTCTGACCTTGTAATTTTAATGTGCTAAGGCTGTCATACTTCCTCATCTTTCAACAACCTGTTCACAGCTACAATACTGCTAATAGGAGGAAAAGAAATAAATCTTTTCCTTCCCCAAAAATCTTAACTCCCTCCTATCTCATACAAAACTCAACGTCCAGCCACAGAACTTCAGGACGGTGTTTTTTTATTTTCCCTTTTATCAACTACAAAGAGTTTACCAAATCCTTCTTTTTTTCCTCCTTTTTAAAAATCCACAATTTCCTTACCTATTCTCTCCTTAGACCCTCTGTTTATACTTTCATCAACCCCTAATACTGTTACCATTTTTTTTGTTTTCCATCTGACCTTCTCTTCCAGAAGTTGTTACCAAATTATTAAGTTAACCTTGATAAATTAAATTAATCTCAATAAAGACAAACCTTTGAACCTATTTCACAAACGTCAATAGGATCGTTATCCCCACAACATCCTGTAATGGTATCTGTATGGTTTGGATCTTCCCAGGTCTGCCAAAGGAAAGAGAACTATCAGTTATCAACTAAACTGTAATCATAACTTGTCTTACCACTAAATTACTAAGACTAACAAAAACACCAATAAAAACATCAGCTTTCTGAGAACAGGCTTGCTCAATGGGAGAAGAAAAAACAAACAAACAAACAAACAGCCAATGGACTGACCTTGAGTAACTTACACTCAGGACAAGTAACATGAGGATTACTGAGTACACAGAAACAGAAATATTAACTGCATCCATGACTCAGCAGATACACTTTACCCAATTGCAGTGATTAAGGCATCAGAGGATGCTGAATACGGATTTCTGTAGTTACTAATGGTTATGGGATCAAGCTAGGACATCTTACAATTACGTTTTCATTATACTCTTCAAATACCATGACACTGACACTTATTGCTTGCAAAAATATGGAGGCTTTGAGCTAACTACCCTCCTAGGCATGGATTTGTCAGAATCCAATAAGCTTTTTAAAGTTTTCAGATTTGGGTATGAAGTATTTCTTAATATTTTGAGATGTGTACCTTCCCAAGAACAGCGAACTGCTTAAGACCAAAGAAGTTTCTTCAAGGGCAAGTTTAAACCCCTGCTCTGAGCACTGTACAAGCAAGGAGTCCTAGCCAAGGTATGCTAATTTAATTACTAGACCAGTACTTGTTCTTACTCTTACTGGCAAGTAACTCATTCTATAGTTGAGAAGTTTTTCTGTTAATTAACAATTTTAAGTCCAATGAAGTTTCATTGAAAAGATTTTAGAAAGCTTCTTTTTTTTTTGAAGGAGCTATGCTGTTAGCTCCTGCTGTCCATGATCATAACTCCACCTCAAAATTGTTTATTTTTCCAAAACTCTTCCAAAGGGCTTTTTATTTAAGACTACATTATATCAGTGTTACTTTTCTGCCCAATTTCATCTCTTCACATCTAGGTTAAAAGGAAAGCTCACTAGCTGTTCTCTGGACAGCAGAGCAGCTTCTGCTATGATAGCAAATATTCTAATATATTAAAAAATAAAAATTACAATTATTTCCAGCCCTCTCCGATTTCAGGGCTCAACGTTCAGTGCTTATACAGTTAAATGTAAAGAAAATAAACTACTCTTTTCAAGCTCCATCATGTTCTTCAGTACTAATTTAAGTCCAATGGGTTATTCATAGAAATGAAAAAAGTTTAAAACTTTTCATTATGCTCAAAATTTCATGCATTAGTTGGGCTTTTCAAGGCTTGAAGCTTTGAACGCCTCCTGATCAGTAAAGTCTCACAGTTCAGAGAAAAGTTAAGAAAGGCAGTTGAGGTTTAATCTAAAAAAGAACAGCCCTTGTGTTCTTCTTAGTTAAAGATATTAAGAAATCCCAATTAAAATTTATGCTGCAGCACATGAAAATCCTAAATGAGTTTTTTAAAAAATGCCTTGTTTAAGCAGGAAAGAGCTACTTGACAAAGTGTTCTTGAATGGCAGACCATGACAGTTTAAGTCTGTCACTACAGCACAGAGACAGACTAAAGATTTGAGATTTCTTGACCATTTAACTCCTTCCTAAAACATAGCTCAGATTTACTTGCACACCCAAATTCTGATCAAAATTTATGGACACAATAAAGTTCAACATAAAAAAAATCCTAATTTACAAATGTATCCAAGAGAAGCATCCCTCTTGCAGCTGATTTGCATTCAGGCAGTATCAAAGATTTACAAGGCAATTTACACAGAAGACAGAAAACTTTCACCATTATAACAAAAATGTTACCTGTGGGAGGGCACCATAATTCCATATATAACCCTTGTGAGGAAAGATATTTGCCACATATCGAAGCTTCCCTTTCTTTATATCTTGTTTAATGGGATTCAATGGCTCCTCAGTGGCAATCTAAGCAGATCGTGAAAAAGGGGGGGGGGGGGGGGGAAAGGGGGAGAGAGAGAGAAGGAGAATGATAAAATGGAAAGCAATTCATTCCATATCGAACCAGTTAGAAAAATTCATCTGGCACGCACATGCTTGTGGTTTGAGAATTATTAAAAGTACAATAGCCTCAGTCTGAATCTCAAGGGTCATATTCAAAAAGCAGCTTATTAAGGTTTTAAATAATGCTGTAAAGTGTGCAAGAAAAAAATGAAATCTAGAAGAGAAAGTAATAAATTTATAAGGAGACTGTCATGGTCAAACATAAATACTGAAAGGAACTTAAGTCAGAAGCTCTTGCACTTTATAGTACAAGTTCAAGGCACAAGTTCTTCTGACAAACTTTGACACTCACAGAGGAAATGTTTCATGTTCTTCTTGCCCTCTGTTCCTTGCTCTCCTATTGCACACATCCCTTATTTCCAACACCTTTCAGCATACAAATGCTTTTTAGCAAGCACGAATTCTCTATAGTCACCAAATGCCAACTTAATGCAGATTTGGAACAAGTTAAGCTGGCATTAGAAGAGGGCATTCTTAGTCCCAAGGAAGCACTCTCAGAAGGACAGAAGCTGAACAGTATCATCCTCCCCAAAACCCCAACTACAAACCCACTGCCATATGAATTACCTACCACAGCTAATTCACTGTAACCATCCTTTTGACACTACATACCACAATCCAATCCATGTTAGCTTGGCTCTTGCTTATGAACACTCATCTGAATGGCAAAACATTGGTTACCAGCTGAAGTGGTTACACTGACTCAGGTGGTGCACAGCTTCCATGCATAAGCACACAGCCCTTAGTCCATATTCATTTTACATCCCTGTCATTTACCTAAATCACCTCTCTCTGGTTACAAATCCATCCCCAAGGAATTCCTCTTTTCTGAACCACAGCAGCCTGTCAATAAATAGCACATACTTATTGTGTAAGTAAACCCTCCCCAACAGCTGAGATGATGGTTCACACATTTCTGGTTTCACACTGGATTCTATTTGCTTCTGGTCACAACTTAACACTGAAGACCTTAAATGTGCCACCTGGGACACTGACAGAAGTGGAGCTTAGCAATGGAAACTGGGACAAAGAAGAGTGACTGCCAGCAGCAGACAAAAGTTTCATGAAAAGCCCCTTCAGTAAAATCAAGGGAAGAACAACAGAAACACAACAAGGTGATGAGTAGAAGATCTGTCACTGGGGATGTAACAGCAGGTAACATTCACTCTAAGGCAAGGTTTAATTTCCTACAATCTCCATTCCACGAGAGGGAATCTCAGCACAGAGATGCAGACAAGGTATTAGCAGGTATTAGCAGCTTACCACAGTCTGGACTGAAGGAGTGCCAGGACACAATGGCATGGCAAGACAACTGCCTTAATGACTGATGCAGGAAATTTCAGCTATATTAGAAGTTAAATGTTAGAGAACTACATCTAGTCTCCTCTATCAAGCCAGAAGAGTCTACACACTACAGATTTCTGAACCTACCAGGACAGTAAACTTTTCTACCCCTGACATAATGTGCCAAGAGAAGAGGAGGGAGAGTAACCTGAGCTTTAGGTAAAGAGTTCAAGTAGAACTGTCAAAGGAAAACTCCAAGAAAGAAAACTCAGCTTCCACAATAAATCATCAGTTTAAAATACAAGGTAAATATCTAAGGTAACCCTGGTTGCAGAATAACAACTGTGAAGGTAAACACAGTTCAAATAATTTTCTATAATCAGGGAAAGGAGAAAACAATTCTGAAATAACAGGCTGGGGAGGTTCTTTGGTATTATTTTCAATAATTAAAATAGTTAACAGCTCAACCACAAGCTTCCTTTAAAGCAGATGGAAAACATCCCTAAGATTAATACCAGTGTTCAGAAAGATAGGACATATCCCAGTGAGATGTGTTGTTTCACAAACACTACAGATGAAGTGCTATTTGTAAAATATCTCCCTGCAGGAGACACTTTCAATCAGTGAGGTCCCAAAGTAATTTTTTTTTTTTTTTGTCACAAGGAAATGCTTTTTTATTTGCAACTCCATTTGTCAGGATTTGGCCTAGCACCCTAGAGTGGAAATGATGAATTAAATTCTCTGAGTGGAATGCTCCATAAGCAAGAAAAAGTAAGACTAAAATGCTGGATAACATCCTGAATATCAGTACTTCCAGACTCTGCTGCAGGTATGCTGCACCCTCCAGTCAGATGGTTGAAAAGAAGACACTTTTTATAATTGCAAGGAAAGTGTCTGTATGCACCACTTCAAATCAATTTTTTAACAGAGATTTTATGTGTAAAGAGTAATCCACGTGATTAAACTCAGATTATTGAAAGTCACTTCATTGTCATAACTTCCATAAATACCTATATAATCAAGGTATTTTTCTTAATTACCTCCATTTTTGCATTAGTCCAACGAGGCACTTCTACAATCATATTATATAGGACCTAAAACAAGAAACAGTGTCAGAAATGAAAATAAATTCCTCTTGGCAATTAGTATTTTACAGTAACACAAATTCTCTCCTCTGCATTCAGCAGCAACACACATCACATTTCTCTGTTCCAGCTGCTTTTACTTGTACAATTCATTTAGTTCCACACAATGATATTCAACTTCCTTAGTTCATCCTTTCCCCACCCCACTCCTTTGAGAATACAAACAACAAAAAGTAATGGAAATACACATGATGTTTTTTATGCCCATATCGATATTACTCTTCACAAAATGTTCAGAATTTCCATGGAATGGTTTGCCACATGGCAGTGATTCAGCCTACTAGTCAAAGAGGACTGGATGTTTCTATAGAAAAGAGTTAGCTTCCCTTAAGCAGTGGAAAGGACAATGCTTCTGGTTTTTTCCCCCAAAGGATTTATTTCTTTAAGGCCCTCCTCTTTTGACTCATTAATTTTTTTTTAAAACCCATGCAAATGCAACAACCACTGATATTTCTAATTCTCAGTCAAATCTAGTTAAGTGAGGTGATACTAATCCAAAAGCGATGGCTGAGGAAGGACATGGACACAGATACCTCACATTTGTGTTAGCCTTCTTCCTAAGTGAAAGCTGTTTTGAGAAGGGGGTGTGGGAGGAATAAACCCAAAACATGTAAACTTGCATGCTTTTAGAAGAAAAATAAGTGGTCTACACCTTTCTTACTGAGGAAGTTAAAGCAGTATTTGCCAAAGAGAAAAACTCTGTGTAACTGCCATAAGATTTCTTCTTCTGAAGCTGTCAGAGGTAAGCACTACCAAGGAGTGGAGTATTAACTGAACTGGGTAACTAGACCAAACCATCAGGTAATGTCTACAACCTATTTCAGATTACTAAAATAACCCCAAAAATATCACATTGCCTGGGACATCTCTTCATAGGCAAAGAAAACTTACATTGGTATTAACAATCGCAACAGTTCAGGAAAGGCAAAGTATGTTTTTGCAGAAGTTTGTAGGAAAAAAATATAAAGTTACACCTTAAATATTTGTATTTTTGCTCCTTGCATCTTGCAGCTGCAACAAACAAATACCATTACCAGGGTCAATGTCACAGTCTGATTAAAGTAATTCCAATGGTTCTATGATCATGTCCTCCCAAACAAATCTGGAATGTGGAAAGCAAGAAAGCAAAGGAAAATCCCAACTGTCACTGAGCATTTCTATCATGAGATCACAAGCTATGCACAATCCTAACAGCAGATTCCCAACAAATTTAAATTATATTTGTCATCCATAAGTACTGTGCCCATACTGTAATCTGTGGCACCTCAGATGGAATCACTTTTCTCAACCAGGTCATGACCAAATAAAAAAAGATTTAAAAAAAAACCAAGAAGAAAGGTGCTTCAGATAAGTTTCAGTTACATAAAGTACACCTTATGTATATAAGAATAGTTGAAACAAAAGTAATCAGAACAAGGGCTCAAAAATGTCAACACTGAGGAAGGAGACAGAACAAAGCAACACACATGCACCAGCAGGTAAGAGAAGGGTTGGAAGAGTGCCCAATAATGTCTGCACATCCATCTGGGAAACATGTGGCAAACAGAAATGCTCAGCATGAAAGCCAGTGCTGACAAGAAACTCTTACGGAACTGCCAAGCAGGTCGAAGAACTGTTCTGACTGGTAGCTACAGGTAGAGAACTTACAAACTACTCCTGGAATTATATATGATGTCTTCTCCTCTACCATGATCCTGTATTTTTCTTGTTCAGATGCTGCTATACACTTTTCTGACCGTGTCAAATATAATGGCTTCAGCAACCTCTAAACTTGGTTTTGAGCTTTAATTAGTCAACAGTTAGTCCAGGTCTTCACCAAATCAACCCTCGGGGCTGGACAACAACTGGACTGAAATGAACACAATGTTGCTCTCATAAACAAACAAACAAAAAAACCAGCTCAAAGACCAGGCCCTCAAAATTTGTGGTATCAGTCAAATGCGAGTTGTCAAGAGTCTTAAATGTGACAGCCTGACAGATTAATTTGTACGCAAAAAAAATCCCTGAAATACTCTCTAATTCTAAGCTGCCACCAGCATTTACAAGAGATTAATGACTTCATATGGTGTTTACATTTAAAAATAAAAAGTTTTATTTATAGGGCAATCAAATTTTCACAGTGGTGAGACTAGATCCACTGGTGTGGAAAGAAGAGCATATATTTTGACAGATAGAGAGAAGTAGACTCCTCTGGTTTTTTAGGAGTTTTTTTCCTCCTCTTCCTATCTTGTTTCCCTCCTTGCCTAAGTATCACCCAGGAATATTTCCATCACTCTTATTTTCCCAGACCAAGCACCTACTCCTTCTAACCACTTGAATGCTGTCTCCCATCCCTTGCTGAAAACTGTTCCCGCCTCAACTGAAAACAGAAATGCAAGTGTCAGACACCACTTGTCTTCACAGATTACCATCTGCATATGTCATTCAGTGGTTAGTTTTGGCTGAGGAATGCATCTGGTAACTGATATTTTTATCTTTATTTTAAATCAGTAAAACAAAAAATTCCACCCCACAAAACCCCCAAGTAAGCACTTCTACCCCCTCAAGCAATGGTGAGACTGCTTCAATAGCCCATTTGACACACCTTCAAATGACAGAAAAAAGATCTCTCATCAAACAAAAACTATTGCTTGCAAAGTTTACCATTTAACTGCCTAAGTACAATAGCAGTCACCTGGCCTGCCTGAGATCATTGCTAGCTGCAGACCAGATTCAATCCCACTCTGCAAGCGCCTGATGTAGAAGGGACTCCAGGAGAGCCAACTGTACAACAGGCCAGATGGAGCAGCCTCATGCCAACTCTGCTGGCTGACAGTCTCCTCAGGACAGTATTCCTGGAGCATGCAAGAAAAAAGGAGGAAACAGTTTCCTAGATTCAGAGAAAGGGACAAAACTCATCTGCTAGGGAAAGAGCACTGACAGAGCCCAGAGGGACTTTCAACCCAGGGTATTACGTAGCTTTTTTGACTTTGGGTCAATATGAACACGAGACAGACATTTGTACTTTTGTTCTATTATACCTTGAAGAGGTGATGGGGGCCGGGGGGGTGTGGAATCTATTTGCTCAACACAGAGAAGTCAAAAGTGCATTTCCTAATTCCTAAAACTGAATAAGCAAATCAGCAGAAAATGACAACAGTAGGAACAACCAGCATGTCTAAATGATACCCTTTATTTCCTAAGAACTACACACCAAGTACATCACATGGGAACTCCCATAGGTTGTAACTGTTCGCTTTATCAGGGTGTTGTCTTTAACACTGCTTGGCAACTTACTGTATTCCATTTCAGCTGAACATCATTTTTAATGTATCATGATATAGTTTTTGCTGAGACAAGCAAAAATGTCTCTCTCTCACACAGACAACAGAAATGGGGTTTATTTTTTGAAATAAGAAAATCAGAGGAAGATAAAAAAGATACACAAAACTACTTCGGCATATTTCGAGAAAAACAAGCAAAACACAGACTGCTGTACCCAGGTAAACTGTTAATCATCATTCTCTACTCCAAGACTGATGGCCAAAAACAACTGCTAGTTCTGGCTGTACAGATTCTTACAGAAGATAGATCATTTTGATCAGAGTTTGTCATTAGAAATCTGAATATCAGAAGAGAAAAAAAACAAAAAGACCTTTCTGACACTATTTTTACAATCTGCCTTTCTGGAATGCCCTACACCCATCTCAAAAACAATTCTTCCTTACCTAACTTTCCCTTTGTTGTTCAACTATTTCCTTTCCCAGTCATTCCAAGTTCCTCAGCTCGTGTACTTGAGGAAAGGGTTTTGAATAAGCATAATTTTGCTCGAGGGTTGCAACCCTTAATGCTGAACTTTGAAGGTGCAGCTAATTTGAAGCAGAAGTGGAGCAACCTCTGTAGAGCGAGGAAAGTGATGAGGTAAAGAGATGAACAGAAACTCAGTACAATTTCATAAAATGACAAACATCACCACTTTTTAAGGCCTGATTGTGATTCACCATCACCTTGCATGACAAGGAGAAAAGATATGCTAAAGCTCACAATTATTTCAGTAGTTTTTATAGAAAAGTACTTAAAAAAATCTGAAAGCACCAGAGGCAGCTGGTCACTCTTCGTCACAGTGAAGTTCTGAGCTCAGAAGAAAGAGAGAAGAAAAGGCAGCTATCATTTCCTTTTATTTTCTGTCTGCTAATTTGCAGTCTTGCAGGGATTCTCATCAACTGAACATGGCATCATCCACCTGAGGACTAATGAGAATGAGCTGCAGTCCAGCAGCAGTGTGAACAAAGGATGATGTTTGAAAGAAAGAAAAAGAAAAAGGAAAACAAGAAGGAAAATATGGACTGTCATTAAATATACCCAGAAATAAATGGAGTGGGGTTTCTATATAAAATGAGTACCCATGTTATAAGCATTCCCAGTGTAACACTTCCTGTAAGGTATTTGCCAATGAAAACAACAAACCAGACGCCAGCAACATCTGGACACCAAATAGACTGTATCTAAATGAGAAAGCAGTGGAACTTTTCCAACATAAATTAACGTGCCACATAGCAAAAAAAGGAATGCAGTGCCCAGCATAAATGCAAAATGCCTGCAGTCTCTTCATAGTGTACTTCTCTCATGTTATACTGAAAAGGGAATCACAAACACTACATTTAGGTTTTTACACACAGGTATCTCACTGGTGTCAGGCATATTCTCTGATCACCCAGTTATGGGACACATTCATATGCAAAACTACAGTGTACAACCATGACATGAATAAAAATGAAACACTGGTTTTCTCAAGTTTAAGGAACCACTTGTTTGAAGTTAAGTTTGATCAAAACGCTGATGTAACTTTCTCAGTAAACCAATTCTACTCTGAGTAGATTTCAGGTGGACTGCTGAGTGAAGACTACTTCTACTCTCAGTATTTGTCCCTCTACAAGAACACAAAGCAAGGCTGCAGCTAATGGACACAT